CTTTGAACCTGTAACCTATGTTAACTCACTGAGTTATATTCAGATGTCCAGATCATTATTTCAATCTTAAGACTAATTTATTCTTGAGATAAATCTCTCAGAGCTTTCTGTATCTATTTTTACAGCTAATCTAGGTATCACTATAGCAGAACCAATACTTGTGATCAGAACTAACTATTAAACTGCTATGCCCTTCTAGAGTTCACTTAAACCTTAGCATCTACTTTACAGTATAACCTTAGTACTTTAGTATACTCCTACCTTTTTTCTTGCTTTTATATCAAACTTTCAATTCAGATAGCCTGTATAGGACTATGATCAGTCTATTGGTATATTAGGTTAGCCTGATATTTTTTTTGTCTGATTCATTCTGGCAGCCTAATTGGTGGTACCCTCAAGACTTTCAATCCAGAAGTTCTTGTCCATTTAGCTATTATAACCAGGTATTAGACCTTAGTATTTGTTTCTTCAGGCTAGTCTTTACAGTAGGACTATTGAAGATTCAGCTATCTTTCTACTTAGATCTTTCTAAATAGACTTCTTGTTACTCAATTTTAACAAATTTACATAGCCACAAGAATTTATTTAGTGTTTGCACCATCTGATTTGTTAGTTTGCATTTCTTTGTGTAATTCCAACATTGCACAGATGCCCTATAACCTGCTAGTTATGATGGTATGACCATCATTACAGGTATCCTAATCCAATCGTTAGTAACAGTTGCTATAATACAAATATTACATAGGTAATTATCTAAAATTTTGCTATCGATAAGATTTTAATACCCAACCTACACTTGGAGGGTTGACAATCTAATCACTTCACTAGGTTACTACACCCTTTTGACTGTATTATAAAGTATAATCTTTAATAAAAAAATATTATTAATATTAAAACTAATCTTATCTTTAAATAAATAAAAATAAAACCTAACTTGAATCAGATTTTGTCAAAAAAATAGTTAATCTTTTTAAATAACACTTATATAACTTTTAAAAAAAAATTAAATTCAAAACTAATAATTATATAGCTTTTAAGTCTAGCTTATATTATATTATTTATATAATGATAAAAACAAATTTAAATTTTTTGTTAAATTTATTTAACAAAACAATTTCAAAACTAACAAAGTTATTACTATTTCTTTTAACATGCTTAATAATACTCTTAAAAAACTAATTCTTATCTTCTTTTTTATTATTATATTAAAATTTTTCTTTGTAATTATTAATATTATTTATAGTTTTTACAACTTTTTCTGATAATCATCTAAACTAAACTTTTCAAAATACTAAACTATAGAAAAACAATATAGTTAATATATTAAACTCTATGAAAACTTTTCTAAAGTACTAGGTATGCATAGTGGCATTGAAATAGAGTTGAAAAAGAAGCTATCACTTTGTGATAATAGTTTAAAAGAGCTCTAAAACCATAGAAGAAGTGGTTAATGAAAATTAAAAGTTTCTTATAAAATAAACAATGATATTGGATATATTATTTTTATATAATTGTAAAACTTACAAGAAACTCTCAGAAGAGTTAAGCATTTACAAAAACTATAGTTTGGTTTTACCTTACATGTTTTCTTATTTTTAAAAAAAAATTTTATAAAAAGTAAATAATTCAGTTTACTCTTTCTAAAAGATTAATACATAAAATACCAAAACAGTTAGCAGTATTTACTTCCTAATCAGAATTGTGTAAACAATATAACAATACAAACACAACTTATATACCTATCTCAAACCACTGAAATCCTATAAAATATTGTTCTTAGACTAACTAGTACCATATGCTAACTTTCTATATACAAGTTGAAGTTTTATCTTATATAGTTTTTGTTAAATATTCTAATAAATAGAAAAATAGTAGAATTATTTCTATTTAGTATAGTTTATAATTTTTAAAAACCTAATACAAGCTTATAATTGTAACCATCCAATAGTTGTGTAATAAAAATTGCATATATATATTTTTTTTCTTTTAATTTTTTATTTTTTTTTTTATTTTTTGTTTTATATTTTTTATCTTTATCTCTTATACCTCTATGTTTTTTTCTGTTATATAATAAATTTTTTTTGTTTTCTTTTATTTCTCTACAAGAAAATGTTATCATATTAGTAATATCCTATTGTAAAACAGTAGTCAAATGTGCCTTCAAATCCTCTTCTTTCTTAGGAAACTAGACAACTAGTACAAGCAGATTGCTTGTAAATACTTATAAAAATAACTGCAAGATGTCAACTCAATATGTTAAGTTTAAAAATATTTGTATAAAAAATATAATATCTTAATAAAAAGCAATTAACAAGACTGCCAAAATCAAGAAAAAAAATTTATTATTTATAATTTTTATTTTTTTAAAAAATAAACTTAAAAATGTGATAACCTAATGAAGTAGTCAAGTTGTCAATCCTTTAAGTAGTAGGTTGTAAGTTCAAAATCCACAAATAGTAAAATTTAAATAATTACCTATGTAATATTTGTATTATAGTAATAACATTTTGTCAATCAGTTAGGATAGAATACTTGTAACTATAATCACACTAGCATAACTGGCAGGTTAGGAGCATTTGTGTAATCTTGATTATACAAAAAGATGCAAACTGGTACCAGGTAGTGCAAACTAAGATAAGTCCTTTGATCATGTAAATTTATAAAACTGAAGAAATCAAAACCCACTTAAGAAGACCTAAATAAAAAAATAACACAGAACTTTAACAATATTATTATAAAAACTAGATCTAAAAAATGAATACTAATGTAAAAAAATTGAATAAGTAAGGACCTCTAAGTAAAAAGTACCACCAACCAGGCTGCCAAAAATCAGACCAAAAAAAAAGAATATTAAACCAAACTTAATATATCAGAACAAATCACAGTTCTACCAGGTTATTTGAATTAGGAATCTAAGGTCAAAGCAAAGATATACTATAAGTACTAGAGATATACTGTGAAATTAATACTAGAATCTGAATAAACTTTATAAAAACATGTTCTGTTAATGTTTTATAATAAAAAATGGATAGATTAGTTAACAGAAAGGTATTCTGAGTCTTACAGTTAAATAACATGCTTTGAAATATGTAATGGTTTAACAAACATACAACAAAGAAAATCACATGTTGGGTTAGATAACACTTAGATATACAAAAACCTCAAAGCTATTTGACTGGTATAAGTATAAAAGATCAGAATGTTTTAATAGGTAATTTTCTAGTAAATTATAGATATGACAGCTAATGTAAAACTTTCAGGCGAACTACTTAAATAGATAACCAAAAGTTGTACGAGTGGCTAGTTGTACACTCACCTTGTACAAGTTATACAATTAATGTATAATTAAAATACACAATAAAGGTAATAGCCATCGATAGACATCAGCCTTAGCAAAAGCAAAAAAAATAAATAAATAAATAAAAATAAACTTAATCTTTTTTTTTGCTAATTTTTTTAATATATTTATTATACTTATATATATATTATTCAAATTTCAAAATTTCAAATCTTAATTTAAATAAATTTTATTTAAACTGTTATAATTTTAAACTTTAATCAAATCTCAAACTATATTCTAAATTCCATTTCAAATCCCAGATTTCAAATTTCACTTCATATTTCAAATCTCATTTTATATTCCAAATTCTATTCTAAATCAAATTTCGAAGTTATTTAAAATATATCTTATGCAAAATAAACCTAATATAGATTTAACATTACCAGAATAACGATAATGAAATTTGGATTTGGAACTAAGATGGGGTTTGGATTCGGAATTTGAAGCATGAAATAAGATTTGGAATATGTAACAATTTGGAATTTGGGATTGGGATTTGTTCGATTTTACAACATGGGATTTTACCAAATAATCCTATTTGTTCAAGTTTGTTCATGAACAAATCCCAAATCCTAAAAGTTTGTACAGCAAGTATATGTACTCAATCAAAATTAACCTTTCATCTAGTTATTGATTTTTAGCAACTTGGTTAGGTCGAATACGTTATGCAAAATAGAAACTTAAAATATTGACTATCACAAAATTTATCAGACACGTTAAAAGAAGTAAGTTATATAGTTAATATCCCTCCACATGTGCAATGTAAAATCAAAACAATCAAAGCAAAGATTTAACAATAAACAATATCTTTAAGGTTAGGATTAAACTAATAAAGGGCATATAATATACCAAACTGTCCATGATATAACTATTACATAAGACAATCACGTGGGGGAATTTTAGGCGTTGTAAATTACATTCAGATTAATACAAATTTTTTAATCGTGTAATAACCAGAAACAATATATAAATAAATATCCCTATACGTATTTAATGTTCGTCTTACCCGTGTTATATAAGTTATAAACAATCGTAATTTACTCTTCAAACTACAATCGATGCACAAAATCTCCGAGTGACAAACTGCTTTTTAATCAATATACGAACATAACAACAGCCGATCCAAAGTGAATCCCTCTCGCCTATGATATTATTTATGTTAGATTCGATTGTGATGGATTTAATCCCTCACCGGTTTTATTATATGTGTAACATTAACGGTCTCTGCTGTTGAACATATAAAATTTATCTAGGTCATGCGATAAAAAATAGAGCCAAAAATCTCAGCATTTGGCTATAACTTTCTTATTATTTAAAAAACTCACTGGACTAGCGCGACGGTCCCTCTTGTTAATATTTTAATACCACGTCACATGAATGATTGGATCAAATTTTATGAATGAGTGCCCATACGGTATAACGATTCTAATTAAACCCGGGTTTAGTTAAGTCGAATTTATTAATTTTAAAACATAAAAAAACAAATTGGCCAATCTTAATATGAGCAATTTGTGAAAGACATCATTTTATTAAGCACAAAATGTTCCGCTGAAGTATTCGCTTATACAGGTTAAAAAAAAAAAAAAAGCATTACCGCAATAAATTGAGATAAGCAAGCAACCTATCTAAAAAAAAGATGGATTTTGACAAAAGAACGGGATCATTTAATAGAAATCCGACCTGTCGATCCTTGTTTCCCGCGAGGGATCTTATCAACAAAAAAAAAACTTTAATACTTTTCCAAAGAAAAAAAGAAGTAGAATTCGTAAATATACCTTTATTTCAAGTAGCCCATTCTCATACTTTGCTTCGATATCTTTTTTTTCGACGGAAAGCTCTCGTGGTAAATAAACGTGTTTTCGGAAGCGACCTAGGTTACGTTCACGAACACGAGACGTCGCGGTTTCATAAGTAACAGCGCGCTTAGATTCACCTTGGATGATAAGTTCACGATCACGAAGATCGATTGAAATATCTTCCTTAGGAACGCCCTGAAATAATAAAATGAAAATTTTGAATAATTAATGCCAAACCTTTTTAAAAGATAAAGAAACTTACAGGCAAATCACAATGAACGATAAAATATTCGTTGGTCTCAAAAACGTCTGTCGCAGGCCTACAGGTATAAAGATATTTGTATCGTATAGCATTTGATCGACAAAAAATCAAATCATGAAAATCTATTATAAAACAAAAACTTCCCTCCAAACAACGTCTCCTTCCTTTTCTGTCATAACACGCGATTCGACATGACGTGGTATGCGATCTTGAATTGGTGCACGACGTCGTGTTCCCCTGTCAGTCGTTCCATATTGGTCGCGATTTCCCCAACGGTCAGTAACATTAATAGGCCAATTAGTCCAACGGTCACTATTAGGTAAATTATTCCAATCGCTCCAGGTAGTATAAGGATAAGTCAAATCAAAAGTTTGATCGTAGAAAGGATCGTAAAATGGATCATTGAAAACAGACATGATGCCAAAAAATGCTTATGCTAAAGAATATTTGTTTGTGAATGGGTCCTTTTATATAAGAAATCTTACTATTTAAAAGTGCATCATAATTAAGTCATTTAAAATTGAATGATACAGTTTTACGTTATTCCATTCTAAATTATTCTGTTACATATTATTTGCATCATCAATCACTTTCATAATTTAACCTATGTAGTATTTACTCAACATTAAGATATCATTATTAATCAAGTCAACTCTATATTGAAAATTTTACTCGTTATAAAACGAGTTTTTTATACATGCTTTTTCTAAACTAAAAAGTTATATACATAAAAGTGATTAATAGTATTTTTGCTTTTGCGAATATTTAAAAAAAAAAAACATATTCAGTTATGATACCAATACCGTATTGCTTCAAAATAACGCTCTAGGGTGTAGGTTAAAATTTTGCCCGAATTAAGCTTAATTCTGGTCAAGTTTTTTAACCTACACCCGGGCATTATTGTAATACTGTACTGTTTTTTATATAAAACTGGCTAATATTTTTTTTTCTAATATTCACGAGGCAAAAAATATACATGACTATATATATAGGATATTATTATTTTATTATAAGTAAAATATATAAATTGTCATTTTTATATAATAATAAATAATAAAGTTAAATATAAATGTATAAAAAAGATTTATTTTTGTTATACATATAAAGACAATTTTGATTACATCTATATGAAAATTTATAATAAAAATTTTATAAATATATAATATATATATTTGTTTCACTAAGGTCAATATTAATAGTAGTTATTATTATTATTATTATTATTATTGATGTTAAGGTGAGATTTTGTTTATATCTTTATTAGTAATTTTAGTTGTATATATTAATATATTATATATTAAAGATATACTAAGATTGTAAATACAAAATAAAAATTATATACAAGAATTAAAGTTCAGACAATTTTATTTGTAACCTAAACTAACTAAAATGGTCAAAACCTACTTAGATTTGTAGTATTAGAATATGATTATAAGATGTGTTATAATTAATTCAAAGTGTTAATCATATATTGATTTTCTTAATAGCTTATTTAATTGGTAAACAAATATTAGATTATAAGTATAGTTGATCTGCTATTCCATATAGACATAAATATATATAGTTTGTATATAATCTTTTGTAATATCTAGTTTGTTGTATCTGTTATGAAATGTTATAAATATTACGAATTTGAAGAAATATAATAATATTATTCTTTTTTTAGTTAGAAAGATTAATGCAATATGGTTTTTATATTTGGTTATATATTTAATTGTTAATATCAAGAACTATTTAAATAATAATTTATAAAGCTATTTTAATTAATATATTGTAGTTATAAATTATTTAATTAAGACTTTAAATATAAGATTTTTAAAAATAAGATTAAAATAAAAAAGAGTTTGCTTGAGATAATATTTGGTCAAATAAGAAATGTTTTTAAATTTTATAAATAAGTTTATAAAACTAACTAGTAGATAAATTAAGATTTGCTTTAAATAAAATATACTAAATTGATAAATTAATAATATTTGTAATAAAAGAAGAATTGAAACAAGTTAACCAATATAAATAAGAAATCAAGAAGATTATATTGAAATCAGTTAATATTTGTAAAAATAGTTGAATATATGTTGTAAAAAAAAAAGTAATTTAGTAGTTTATTTAATAAAACTTTGATTTTAAAAACTTTAGATTGATTAAGTTTGAAGTTAGTAAAATTAAACAAAGATTTTTAGTTATGATTAAGATATAACCATGTTAATTGCCAATTTATATAGTAATTTATATGCGACTATTCATTGTTTCTTTTGTATAAAGATTACATTGACAGTATGTAAGCTTTGTAAATATTTTTAGTAAAATATTAGATAGAAAGCTTAATAGAATTTTGGTTTTATTATAGAATATGAAATGAATTATAAATATTTGTATATTAAAAATTTAAGAACAGAGAGAAGATATGCTGTTTTGCTAGAATATTAGTTATGTTATTAAATGTGTTATTTGTATGAACCTGAACTTTATAAAAGTTGATATTTAAGTTAAAGGATTTAATAATATTAAGAAGTATATAGCATAAAGATTATGTATTAAATTTAAAGAATTTGTTAGAGTTATTAAGTTGAATAAAAAGTTTGTAAAACTTAGAAATAATTAATTGTTATTTAGTATAAATTTGAAAAATTATATTGTAAAGTATGATTGAAATTACAAATAAGATGAAGAAGAACTCTGTTTTAGAAAAGTGTCAAAAATCAGTTGATTTTTTAGAAAAAAAAAAAGTAAAAAAGTTGAAATTATATATAAAGAATCTAACTATTTATATATTAAAAAAAAGAAAAAAAAAGAAGGTTTTTGATAAAAAATAATCAAATAATTAATAATATAGTCCTTATAAACTAATGACTAGAAATAGATTTTAGCTAAAAATTTATAAAGAACTTGGTTATTACTATTAACTTGAACCTATCTAATACTTATTAAGTTTTATTTAGCTCCAATATTGAATACTAATTTATCAGTATAAAAAGTAAATTTCTTATATACAAAATTATTTTAAAAATTTTTTTTAAGTTTGTTTGAACAATTATTAGGTTTAAAGATTTTTGTAATAATAGAGTTTAATATATTGATAGTAGAATAGTTATATAGAATTCATAAGAAATGTTTAATTATTGTTAAATAAATAAGATTCAGATAGTTAGTATTAAGTTTAAGTTTGAAAGTTTTTCTTTCTAAAAAGCTAATACAGATAGTTACTAAAATGTTAATTGTGCATATTTGCTTAATTTTGTTTAAGTTAAGATGGTATTCAGTACATAGTATATAGTTTAGATTTAAAAGAAGGTAGTAATGATTATATTCTAAGTTAATATTTGCATCTCAATATGAGATAGAAAACTGGTTGGTATTTGAAAATATTTATAAATTTTGCTAATAATAATCTTATTATTATTATTATTATAGATAAGTTGTTAAGGTTTAAGCTTTTTTTTAATTAGTAAAGTATTATATGCAAAAGTATTAACTCCTAAAAGTTGAAAATAAGAAAAGATTTGATAATGTAATCTGTTAATAGAATTGTATTCTTTAGGTAGATAAATCAAGAAGGTTACCTTCTTTTTGTTAAGTAGTAAAGTCTTAGTAAAAGATAATGTCATTTAAGAATATACTATTGTTTGCAATATATAATTACTCTAAGTAAAGTATGTTATTTTTTTAAAGTTGTTTTTTAAAAATATAATATTTGGAGTATTAACTAAATGTAGTTACTATTTGTATTATATTTTTAATTATATATATATATACTTGTATAAGAATAAGTATACAACTAGTTATATATACACTTTTGATTGCCTATTTAAGTAGTTCATCTAAAGGTTCTACACTAGTTATTATACTTGTAATTTGCTAAAAAATTATCTATTTAAATACTCTGATTTTATATTATACTAGTTGAATAATCTTTAAAACTTTTATATATTTAATTACTATCTAACTTAATATGTAATTTTTTTTTAATACATCTTGTTAAGCTGTTTACTTATTTTAGAATATGTTATCTAATTATAAAACTTTGAATAATTTTCTTTTAACTAATCATTCATATTTGATTCTTATTAACAAAACTAATTCTTGTAAATTTTATTTATATTTTAGTACTTACTTTACAATATTTTTAGTACTTTAATATATCTTTACTTTGTTTTTAAACTTCTAATTCAAATAGCTTAAAAGAATTGTAATTTGTCTCTGATATATTAAATCTGACTTGATATTCTTTTTCTTTAGTTTAATTTAACTGTCTGGTTAGTAGTACTTATTATTTAAAAGTTTTTGTTGTCTAATTCTTTCATATTGGTATTTGTTTTCTAAATCTAATTTTAATAATAGTACTGTTAAAAATTTGATTACCTTTCTATTTAGGTTTTTTTAATTAGATTTTAGTTTTTTTAGTTTTATAAATTTATACAGCTATAAGAACTTAACTTAAATTTGCACTATCTAATACTAGTTTGTACTTTTTGTATAACTAATATTATACAAATACTTTATGATCTGCTAATTATATTAGTATAATTATAGTTATAAGTATTTTATTCTAACTAATTAATAGAATGTTATTACTGTAATATCATTTATATAGGATGAAGTTAATAGAAATAGGACAAATTTATCTAATAGATTTGTCTTATTTCTATTGACTTTACCCTATATATTATATAGGTAATTATTTAAAATTTCATTTTTATAGGTTTTGAATTCACAACCTACTATTTAGAGAGTTGACAACTTATTTATTTTACTAAATTGCATATTCTTTTTATAAATATACTAAACTTATATTATAAAATTAATATATTATATATATATATATTAAGATGTAATAACTTAGTAAAATGAATAAATTATTATTCTTTTAAATAATAAATTATAAAAGAGGATGACGATCCTAGTGTAGTGGTTGGGTTGTCATCCTCCAAGTGGCAGGTCTAAGGTTCAAATCCCACCTATGATGAAATTT